TTTCCTATTCCCTAGCTTAAAATTTCCTATTTTCTAGCATTATTTCCAAGAGTGCTGGGAGCGTAGTGATTACACATTGGTGTGTAACCTCAAGGTCAACAGTGGAAATTCACCAGTCTCTCTGAGGGAGCAAATGGGCTTTTCATTACTATAAAGAGTTACAGTGTTGGAAACCCACGGGGGCGTGCTCCTCTGCCCTACAGGGTCACTAGGAATTGGCATTGACTCAATGGCCGTGAATGAGAACGTCATTTCTGACCAAAGTAAACGAGTCTCCTAATTACTACACGTGTTGGCTTTGTTAGCATTCAGTTCCTAATCCCCCTTACCATTATAATTTGTCAATGCATCTTACATGGGTTTTTCTTATTTTCAATCTCTCTGAAATTATTTTTCCCTCCCCAGTAATTTTTGAGGTTGTCTTTCGGAGACCTTGCAATTCCCTCATTCCAAAAAAGGTGCTAAAAATGAAAGTTTAGGGCCCTCATTTTTCAGTATTTTGGGGTGTGTCAGGGATCCAGTTACTAAGACAGCTGAATGATTAACACAGATTCTTGCTACAAAACTGGTAGGCTGGGCTATCTAGAGAAATACAACCATTGACACATATATGTATAAAAAAGAACCTTCTATCCAGAAGTAGTGTTCTATTAAGAAGGCACCCCAGCCCTTTCCACCTGAAGTCTGATGACACAGAACGGTGAAGTGGGCAGCAGGGAGGGTGGGTGCAGGGTTGCGTGGAGCCAAGGTTGGTGGCTGGTGGCTCGAGAATGCTGACAGCTCTCGGCATCTGGAGTCCCACAGGGGGCTCTCCTGGAGGGAGGCACAGAGTCCCAGGAAGCAGGAAGGTGAAGGGGCAAAGGAGGATGCGTCTCCAGTATCACTCTTATAAAAAGGCCACACGTGCCAGGAGGCATCACCAGGCTCTGACCTGATTGGCAGGTTGGACTCCACCCACCCACACGTGCAAGTCGACATAAACTCTACCCACCAAGCCAGCATCACCTCTCTTCCTCGTCTCTCCCTGTCCCCACCCCTTTCACAAATAAGAAAGCCCCGCCTGCTCTGACCCTGGGGTATAAGTGCTGAGCCACCTATCCCTACCTCAAGTGAGACACTGTTGGAGAAATCACATTTTAGACCCTTGTTGAAGAAATCAAGATTTAGGTCCTTTTCCCACACAGAGATCCAGAGTTCCTTAGTCCAGTATTTTATATACTGAGGTATTTACCTCGTTTTTGTCCAGAACTCTATCTAGATAAAATGATTTTTTAATTAATTGCTTATTTACCAAGAGAAACTACTCCTTAGCCCACAGTCATATTTCATAGTTCAAGGACATAGGCCAGTGACGTTCATGGAATCAATCTGAAGAAATTCTTTCTAGTCCCCAATCACTTTGCACTTTGAAAGATACCAGCTTTCCTCATCTCCTCAAAATCCTGCATGGAATCATAATGTCTGTAGAAATCTGTACCTGCCTTCTTTCTCGGTTCAGCAACTGAAAACTTAGAGAGCCTCCAGCCCCCAGAGACCGAACGAACGCTCCAACAATATGGATCTGCAGACGCCTTGCCAGAAGGCCTCGCATCTGAGGGTTCCCAAAGCACCCCAAGACATGGCGGCTCTTCCCCCTCCCCACAGAGGCCCTTCCTGACTGAAGAAGAGATAAAATGATAGTTTATCCATGCACTTGTTCTGGTTCGGTGGTTGTGGATTGTAAACCCATTGTAAACCAAAATTACTGGGTCAATAATTTTCAGGCTATAATGATTATCAGTATAAAAATCTACTCAATGGAATTTATAAGAAATAAAACATGCAGATTATGATTTGAAAGGACACACGAAAAGTAGTATTAAAGATGATGATTTTTATCCATTTAGAAAACTTGAGTGTCGACTCCAAAGCTACGTTAAATAATATAGTTAGTAATTGCAAATTATTTATAAAACACATACGACTACATGCTGTATTGTTTATGTTGACTTGACCCTAACTCATTGAGATAAGAAATCAATTAAGATACCTGAAAATTCTCTGGAATGCCCATTCTCAAAGAAATCTTTTCATACGAAACCCAACATCTTTCCCTTCGTGGTTTCACGATCTGATTACTGCTTACATCTTTCCAAAACATCTCTCCAACACTCCCAAAGTGGAGCTCGCTAAATCATGTCTGGCTTCCCCTCTAAGTTCTGTTTACTTTATTTGCAAGCTTACC